CGAATACGTCCAGTGGGGCCTGCTCCACTACTCACCAAATGTACAAAAGAAGCATATGGCGGTGTATGGTTCCATGTTTCAGCAGAAGATTCATTTACTAATATTATATACATTTGGTGAGTGGTGGAGGGAGGCCCTGAGAATCACGTGGAGACACGAACAGGGTCTAGCTGAATTGGTGACCCATAACTGCCGAGCTACAGCCCTGAACTCGAATCCACAGCATATATTGGTGGTCTGCCCACGGCTCTCCCACACGTGACGAGCCCATCCTTCTCAATTAAGCTGGCCCTTAATGGCTCCACATGTATTGTAGGAGCCATTCGAGGTATCTGCAGGGGGCCTTGAATTGACGAGAAGGGGACCCTTTGTTGACTCTCTCTTATCTCTTTCTCGGCCTGTCTTTTTTTTTTTTTTTTTTTTTTTTTTTTTTTTTTTTTTTTTTTTTTTTTTTTTTTTTTTTGCGCACAGTGCGCTACTCCCTCAGCGCGCGCACCGCACACAGCGGACAGCACTGCGTACTGCGCACACCGCACGGCGCACAGTGCGCGCGCTGTCGTTCCAGCGCAGTGCGCACCGCCCCGCCCCGCACTGCGCACTGGTGCGCCGCAACTATGCTTTGCAGTGATCTGATCCTGGTTCTTCTAGACTGTGCATAGAAAAAGTGAGCCAATTGCTTCTACCATATTCTTTTTTCATAAAGGCTAGTGCATGTTCATGGGGCTTTGTGTGTGTCATTACCGCCCAGTCTCCTGTTGACCACTGTTTGTCCTTCTTGAGAGTTGATGTCCACTCCACCGGGATGGCGTTTGTCATTTGTTGGAGGTTTTGGATTAGGTTGTGGCAGCCCTTGAGTTTTTCTCAGAGTTGTCTAGCCGACTGCCAATCCTTTTTAGAGTTGTCCCAGATGTGCTTGATTTGCCAGATGCCTCTCTCCACCCAAGACCCCCATCTTGTATCTTTTTGCGGTGAGAGTGAAAGGTGTGCCTTCAATATTGACTATCCAAGAGTTACAGAAGAGAGGCTGTCTGGGGATTTCTTCTTTGCTGATTGGTTTCCTTACTTTCAATGGAAAGATCTCTCTCCACACCTTCAGTAATCT